CACGCACTCTTTTGTAGCAGACTTGTAATCAAAAGCCTTCCAGTCTGTGCCGTAAATGTACACATTACCAAACTGCTGCAGGAGGGCATGGTATTCTTGTGGCAGGAGAATTGTGTCGATCCTTCTGATTTTCTGCTCAATCCTGCCAAAAACTCTATCTGCGGGGAGATAGCTGTGCCCCCTGACTGGAAATATGTGCTCGATGCAAAGATTGGGGAAGGTTTTCCTTAGCTCCATGAGCATGGAGACCATGGTCATATTTTTGTTTTGTCCATAGCACGAGTCACTGAAGAGCCGAAGCCCCTTGGACCTGCGAATTTGACTGGCAAGGCGAACTGTGAAGCAGTCATTCAAAGCAGATGCAATCATGTTGCTGTCCTTGGGACCCTGATTTTCCTGCCACACATAGAGATGGACATCCTCTTTTGGCTGCCGACTATTCTCTCCATGGTGTCTTACAACACCAAACAGGTAGAGAAACAGCTGACGAGAGTAGTAGGCCTGCCCTATTGGAGTTTTGGGAAGGATCAGATTCTGCATCATGTCAAAGCAGACAGACACAGAATCATTCGCAACTCTGCCTAGTAGGTCATAGAAAACACGAGCTCTACGACGATGCAAAATGAATGATGCCGATTCTATCTGCCTCTCTGCTTCTGTCATATTTGGATCTGTGATTCTGAATTTGTATTTGGCACAATCAGAACATGCATCAGTTGCTGGGTGGCCGAAGCCAAGATTGAAATTTTTGGCAAAAACAGAGTAGTAGAGGGAGTAGCTTGTGTGTGCGTGGTTTAGAGCCTCAAAGAGCCCATGCATCTTGCGCACACTGAGGTCAGCTGGCAGATACCTGCGCCCTGGTGCTCCCCTCCGCCCATAGTGGCTGGCCCTGCACGTGAAGGTCTTGATGTGATTTATGATCAGTTGCCTTCTACTGTCGTTCCCCTCGATGTTTCTCGCACCACCTCTTCTCTCCGGACGAGCCTCTGCAGTCTCAGCATAATACCGGGCAACCCGGGAGGCCCGGTCTTTGCTGATTCCTGTGGTAAAGTGAAGGTAAATTAATTAATTAGATCGATTCAATGTAAAACCAACATGCATACACATCAATACACACACTATACACATAGTCCAGTACAGAATCAACTTAAAACATTTCTTTTGATGTTCCAAGTAGCTTAGTTTTAGCGAAGTAGTCTAGAGCATTGTCTCGCAACCTTTTTTGACACCCTATAATGTAGATTTTGCACTCACACACATGCACACGCACACACACACACACACACACACACACTCTGCACCACTGCTCTGCTCTGCTGACGACACGTGACACACACACACACACACACATCCCAAACTTCCCCTTCCCCATACTCCCTAAACCAGGGGTGGGGAACCTTTTTCATTCTCTAGGATCCCTAAATATAACTTAATTGTATTGCAAATGTAATTTCTTTACAAAATATGTAATTTCATGTAATGTGAAGCTGCACAACATTAAAATTATACCAGAGACCGGCCCTCGAAAAATAGGTTCCCCACCCCTGCCCTAACCCATACCGCCCCCTCTGCCACCAACACCCCTTTAAAGCCTCTCACACACATGCATGCATGCATGCACACACACACACACACACACACACACACACACACACATGTTCCCTTTACCACACCTCTTCCCCTTGCTTCCCTTAACACCACTTTAAAGCCTCCTGGACTGTCACCAAATAAACAAACACACACACACACACACCTTCCTACTAAAGCGTCTGACCAGTAGCACCAGTAAGACATGAACACTTTCACCCCTGGAGTTTAGAAACAGTTAGCACCGCTTTGTCTAGAAATGGCTTTAGCCATCCACTACACAAATAAAGGGTTGTGTATCATCATTACTTTTCTCTGATAAGTAGCCAAAAAAACAATCCTTCTAATAGTATAAAACATGACGCCCATCAGTGTAACTACAAAGGAAAATCACATACAAAACGGATTTCAACTATTCCAAACATGAAAACTTTACTCACCCAAAACTGACAGGAATGTGGCCTTGCAAACTGGCAATTTTTTGGGGTGCTCATCCCACAGCAGGCTGTATTTCACGGTGACATTCCTCCCCTTCTGTCGGTTTTCGTCGTTCTGACGCTGCCGTTTTACCTCAGATACGCTCATCAGGTGAAGAAGTGCCGCGTCCTGATCCACCTTATTAGGTTTGTCATGAAACTTCTGAAAATTCATGACAAGGTCATCGGGTGTCAATCTATCTGCTTGGCAAAAGCATTTAGCTGAGGTGTGTTTACATCCAATGGTGGGGATCCGTCCTCCACCAGAGTAGCGTATCTTCTTAGTTTGTTGACGTTCATGGTCGTCTTCGTTTAAACGCCGTCGTCTTCCACCTGGCGTGGGCTTAACAGCTTCTTCGGACCCATCAAAAGTGTTTATCACAGTCAACACATTCATTTTTCCGACGTATTTAATTCACACTGACGATGTTTACCTCACGCCTCACGTACACCTCACGCATGACAGCTATTCGAAGACTCCGATTGGCCGAGAGAATATGTCGCACTGTGACTCGAAACGAGTGTAGCGCCTGTCGCGGTTTGGAGTAAAACGATACCTTTCAGTACAATTTAAACAGGGATATGTAGCGATTTTGTTAGAAACATTTATGGAGCAGTGAGTAGGCTCGGTATACAACAGAATGACGTGACAAACTCATTTTTTTTTTAAATGGCGTTTATCGCGTTTTGGAAAAGTGCTCTTCATTTATATACTATTAAATGTATAAAAACTTTACTTGAGTATATATCTATACTAAAAGCATAGGCTATACTCAGGTAAATTTTTAATACATATTTTTCACCTAGGTTATAACATAAACAGAACATTAAAGATTTGAGTATTTAAACAACCAATTTTGTTTTTCAATTACAAGTTAGGGCATGGCATGACTAAGTTAACACTATTTGATGCCATTGGTAGTATACGACGATCAATATTTTTGCTTCGGCATACCATGTTGAACTCCATCATATCACAGAGATGCTAATCATTTGATCTGAAGTGAACGCTATACACGACCGCGTTTTCCGGGCCAATGCGGAAGAGAAATCCCGTCTCTTCACCTGCTTAAACCGCACCAGGAACGAAAGATAGGCTATTTAGCACCGTCACTTTTATTGTAATGGAAACTTGTGGACTCGATCTCGAAGTCCTGACAGGCTGGAGTTTTTGCAATCTCCACAAACACAATAATTTACCATGACGATGATAAATTAAAATGCAAAAACTAACGAAAGCACACTGACTGACGAGCGCTCTCGCTGAACACCAGCCTACTCTCCACTGAGCCGAGGCTGCGGCTCCCTGATATGACGTCAAATGACGCGATGTTGAAAAAAAAGCCGTTTTTACTAGCAGTCCAAGAAACGCTCACTTTATCTTCTAAATTAGTGCCCTTATGTTGTTTTAAAACATTTTAAATCCTGCATTAACTTTTCATATGGTATTTTCATACAAGGTTATCTATAAATTTCGAATTTTTTTTACCTGCAATATGCTCTTTAATATAGTAACTTTATTTTGTTACAGCTGGTTACTGAGTTTATATAATAGCCTACTTTTTAATGTTTTATATTGTTCTATGTATTGGTCAGTGTTTTTAAAGCATCCCAGTTGCATAGATTAATAAAGGAGCAATTTATCTTTACCATAGTTCATAATAGCATTTGAGTTCATAAGTTAGCATTGTAGCACTCCCGGTTCCCTCGCTCTAAAGCCTATGGATTTTTGAATGGGTTTTTGCTAAATCGCCTGAAATAAGGTCTGTGGTGAACAAAGCCTCTAAATATTTTCACGTTTTGATCTATGACATAAAACACACAGTTATTACCTGCTTGTGTTTTTAAACTTTATTGTGTCTGCTTGTGTTTTTTAAAAACTTTATATAAGCTTCAAAATGTATACATTTTGGATTAACTTGTAAAGATTACCTTGATAGACAAAATGTGTATGGGTCACAACACTTTGTTGAACATAGATCTTAGTTTTTGCAATTTTCCAAAAGTCTAAGGGGAAAATGCATTGCTTTTCGATCGAGGGAACCCATGCGCCGCTAACTTCCTACAAAGTGACGTCATCACTTCGGCACTCTATTGATCTACTTCCAAATCACTAATTTTGGGGGGTTTTATGCAGATCATGTGACGTCCAATACAAACCTTTGCCTTCGCTACCGATGTGTGACCATAGACTGTAAAAAATGTGTGTGACACATGGATAAACTAATCTGTGATTGGTTGTCTACACTCGAAATTTTGTGATCTGATTGGTAGTCTACGGTCAGAGACTATAGACTCTTGGCCAATCAGAACGCTTAATTGTCTACGGTCACTAGAGGTATCCTGTTAAAACTCTTTCAGGTTTCGCACTGATGTAGATGTTAAATGTGATTTCTGTGGGACTAAGAAAATGTTGTCCAATTATTTTTCAATTGCATTTTTTTGATAGATTTGGAATGTTTAAAAGTTGAATTTTTACTTGAATTGACAAAGACTACCACCAAATGTGGCCTTTCTTGTTAATCTTTGATCAAAATGCATTAGGTCTCGATGTGGAGCTTTCATCGTGAAAACATTAGCCTTTAGGACAATGAAAAGTGAGGCTATTCTTTTAATCATCTAGTTGTCTCCCTCAATGCCATCAAATGTAATTAAACCCCACATTGTCTGCTGATGTGCCGTGATTGTCCTCATGTATGGCCTTGTCCTCTGCCTTTGTGAAGCACTTTAGATCGGCCTCCTGTTTGCCTGGGTGAGGGGTCAAAGCCCGGCAAGTAATTACTGCTCTGTTGTGATGTTTAACAATGAAATGAATGCTGAGATCTTTAAAAATCTCATTATCTATAGTCTATAGATATTTTGTTTGCCTTGCGTAATAACATTCGTGTCATAGTCAAAGAGCCATGACTCTTTAAAAGAGCCAAATGTCCTCGTTTCCCTCGGGTGAAGTTTGTCGGAATCAGATCCAAGTTTGCTATTTTCAGCATTTGCTACCAAAGGTAAAGGTTATCTGTTTAACATTCTTATCAAAAGCTAAAATAATGTGTAATTGCTCATTGTTGTTGTTGTTTGTAGGAGCTGAAATGGTTCTTCAGCGCAGCATCTCTCTGCTAATGCTCCTCTGTTCATCTCCACTTGGTAAACTCTCCATTCAAAACACTTTGGGATTGAAATACCATGTGCTTATGTTTATTATTCATGTGATAAATACACTGTAAAAATGAAAATGACTGAGTATGTTAAATCTAATCAATAAAATTGAGGCAACAGATTACAATCTATTTTATAAATTAGATTAGAATTGAGTAATAACTAACCAAATGGATTACTTAAAAGCAATTCTTAACAAAAATATCGTATTAACAGACTGACGTCAAAAATGAATAAAGAACTCTTTTTTTTATTGCCATTTTTAAGACACCTGATGATAACAAGCAGAATCACTGAAGGAGAAAACTGTAATATGTCACCATTATGGTGATCAGTGTGTGTTTTAGTTGGCCTCTTGACCCTAAATCATTTACTTCAAAATTGTTTGGTTGCTGACTGTACGTGAGTTATGACGGGATGATCTGCTAGTCTTGGTTGTGTTCTAACATATGTGACGGTTCAATGATTTTTATTTTAAAATAAAAATCATTATTTTAAAACATAATCTTTTGTATAAAAAAATTGTAAATTCTACTAATTTTACCATATTTTCCGCACTATAAGGCGCACTTAAAAGCCTTTAATTTTCTCCGAAAACTACAGTGCGCCTTATAATCCGGAGCGCCTTATATATGGATCAAGTTAACAATAGTTGGTTAACAATGCTCTGCGTTATTAAATCCGCCCGCGAACTCGCGCTCGTGTCCATCTTATGACCGCTCTGTCACACGGCCAGTTAAACCTCGTATAAATCGGGTTATGTGTGTAAGTCACGAGCGCTCACTCTTAACAGATACACAAACAGACACACTGTCCCCGGCACTGCTCGCGCGTCACATAATGTTCATAAAGCGCTCCCCGTTCACAGTAACCGGGTCGTCTCATTCAAAACAGCCAGCTGTTGCTGTCAGCGAGCCACCACACATATGAATCAGGCTGCGAATTTAAGTTACGTGCCCGCCCCAGCGCGCTCACGCCCTATATATGAAATTTTTTTCTAAAATAGGTCATTCATTGAAGGTGCGCCTTATAATCCGGTGCGCCTTATAGTGCGGAAAATACGGTAATTGACTTTTGGATGAACTTTTAAGTAATTCATTTGGATAATTCAATTGGAACTATTACTCAATTCTTGTTTGATAAATTTAATTTATAATATTGATTGTAAGATTTTGCCTCAATTTTATTGATTAGATTTAACATATTCAGTCGCATTCATTTTTACAGTGACGGATGTTTTTATCAGAATAATTTTTGGAGTGAAATAATTGGAAATTTGTCTTTAATTTTGCTTGGAGAATATCTTAGTATTTTGTAAGTCCAAGTTTTGTTGTTCCATCTAGCAGGAAAATCTGACTGGAGTTTGGCTGTCAGCCCAAATCCCATCATTTGTTCATCCGATTGGAATCTGATCTAAATGATTGACTGTCCACACTAACACTGTGAAAAATAAAAATGGAAAATGTACTAGTAATTTTCTGCCTGGACATTATCCAGTAATTTTACAGAAATTGCCGGTAACCCGTAAAACACAACCTTATGCAATGCAAATTCAAAATGCAGGTAAAAAAATAAATAAATAAATCCAATAATTGTTTTGCCAGTTGTCGATAATATTTGGGAAATGTCGATACAATATTTTTCTGTTTAACTTTAGCGCATAAATTCAAATGTCGCAAAAAAACGAGTTAAAGAAATGTTTACGCAAATAAATCTGGTGTCACGTGACAGAGCTAAAGTGTCTAGTTCGTCTTACTGTTAAAGCACCATTTCTCTGTAATATCCAAAGGTGCATCAAAACAATTATATTCATATTATTGAATTATTTGTACAAATATTTTATTAATATTGCTAAGAAAAAGACGTGTTACCTTTTAAACTTCATTCATCCTTATTTTTGTAATTTTGTCTAATATTTCTTTTGGTGATTACACATCTTAATTTGATGTTCCTTTTATTTATATAAGTTAAAATGTATTGGTTTTGTTCTAAAGATTAAAAAGTCAAATTGCATTAAACAATTGTTTCAATGTAAAGTGTTCATGCTGCGTTAAAATGTTAAGTTTAGCCAACTTAAAAAGTATTAAGTGACAACTATTTGAGTTATCTTAGGTTAAATCTGAACAAGGTTATTCTGACATGATTTTTAAGTTATGATAGCTACTTGCAATAATATGTATCTAGTTTTACAGTGTGTAAATTCGCAATAGGAAGTTATTGCTCCCATTTAAAAAATAATATCACCAAGCTTTCTTTTCAGGCTGTCAGACAAGCTGTCCCACTTCGCCATGATCTTAACATTTTCTAACTTACTAATAGGCTTTTTATTTGTGAAAATAGTAAGCAGTAAACAAATTTAAACTGTTTCATTGCTCTCTGCATTTACAAATATTCGGGATGCAAAACGACTCGAGGGCAGAATTTTTTAGTGACACAGCAAGGGATGACGTCATTACGAACAAAAATTTATCAGTAGGCTGGTGGCAGTAAATTTGTAAATTTGTGGTACATTTGTAGTAAATTTTGATGTTTTTTTTTTTTTTTTTTACGCATATTCACTTATATTCACTCGATACAGTGAATTGAAGTTGTGTATCGCGAATGTTCAGATCAGATTCAAAATCCAAAGTTGTGTTTTAACCAGCCCAGACATATTTTTATTTATTTATTTATTTTTTGCTGATGTTAACACTTGCTAAATATGATCTGTTTCCAATATACACAAAAATGGATTTGGATTGACAGTCTGAACAAGGCTTTTAGTAACAGGCTCATTGTCACAAATTTTCTTATTCTATTACAGGGACAGAAATAGTGCAGAATCCTACGATTTTTTTTTCTTTTTTTACATTTGTATCAAACCTGTTATTTCTGTTCTCCTTTTGCATGTCTAAATGAGTGAACTTCCCCATTTTCCTGTGGCTGATAACATGTTCATCTGGTCCTATAGTGTTCGCTGCTGGTAACTCCACTAACTCCACAGAGGCATGTGACCGTCGCTGTCTGGCGAACTCTCTGGTTGAAAAAGAACTGTTCAGCCCGCCACAGGATGATAACTGTACCATCGTAGTCAACATCACTTCCATAATATATCAGATGTTGTCTTTTGTGAGTGTCATGTTTGTTGTTTTGTTGATCTCCTTCTGTTTGAAAAGCACAAATATATACTAGCATAACAACTGTATGCCATAATTCTGTACCACCATTTCTTAGGATACAAAGGCCATGGAAATGACCAGCCGTATCAAGATAAATATGGTGAGAAGTTCATTAGTAGTTCATTTCAAGTTCTTGAATGAAATACGAAAATTGAATGTCATTAAAATCTCCTTCAAAAAGAGTGATTGTCACCTGCAAACATTTAGTTTTCTGAATAAATTTATAGTATATCATACAGTATAAAGTATCAAGTGAGCAAGAGTGCTGTTATACTGAGTTTTAGCACATGCTCATTGTTCACCATGGAGGTTTTAAATTGCTTGAAATATGATTGGAATCACTTTGAAAAAGAAAATACATAAAAGTGTAACATTCATTCTTATTGGCTAAATACAATTATAATGGGAACATTACAATTGTGTGTTTGGGACATGATTTTAATGGTGAGACTTTTGTTTTTGTAATCAGGCTCTCAAAAATAATGTGTAACTTTAGATTTATATTTATCTGCCAATATATCGGTTATTGGCTTTTCAAATATGAAGACTCATCGGTTTTGGCCAAAATGTTCATATTGGTCCATCCTTGAGTATTTGAGGCATAAACAGTTTTAATGGCTGCCTGTCATTTCGGTGCATCCCTACAAAGTAAATAAATCATAAGAAATAATAAATTTAATGTGTTGCTGTAATCGACCAATCCGAATCAAGCATTTCAAAGAGCTGTGTTATATTGTAAAACAAAATGAGAGGCTGTTTATTTCACTTAAACTGTTGGACAAATTTTCTGCCCAACAGGAATGGATGGACCCTGATCTTGGATGGATGCATAAGAGATATAAATTTTCAACAATTGTTTTACCTGTTGATAAAATCTGGATTCCTGGGCTAGTTTTGGAGAATTCGTGAGTTGAACTCAAGACTTATGCACATATTCTAATAATTGGCCTGTGTTAAAAATAAGGTCAGAGACACACATTCAATGACTGATTCAGAACTGAAATCAATTCTGGCATGGTTGAGATAAAATGTCAGAAATGTACTCTTAATGTATTATTTAGAGGCATGAAACACATTTTCAGTTAGCTATGAAATGATACCAGTTTTGGTTAAGGGACACTGAGCTCCACACTCATCAACAAGGCCTGGAATATAATATTTGGTAACATCTCAAGTGTTAGATGGCAGATGACTTTTGCCACCAAATTTAGAAACAATAATCTGTGGCGTTATCCCACATAGTATTATTGTTTCAGCCCATATCCGGCCCACATCTGGCACATGTGGAATGATCTCAGCCTCAATAAGCTTGTTAACAAGCAGAATCACTGAAGGAAAGAAGAGAACAGAAAAGGAAACACAAGAACTGAATTAGATGAAATCAACTGAAGAGATTAAAGATCTCTGCAGAGATGGATTAAACAACTCCACAAACAGCATTACCAGCTTCACTTATTACTAACCAGACTGACTTTATTTCTGTCAGACTTCTACAGAAGTGCTTATTGAGAATTAACAGGGGTTTAACTATAATGTGTTTAATTTGAAGTCACCATTATGGTGATCAGTGTTTCATTTAGTTGGGGTCGTAATTATCTATAAGAATTTTTTTGTCTCGTTTTTTGACTGGTGTGACAGTGTGTTTATAAAAACACATTTGTTAAAAAAGATAAATTGAAGAGAGATCAGGTGATGATGGTTCCCTGCTCTCTCTCTTTCTCTCAGAGTCGACGTGACCGTGGAGCCGTACTCTAAAGATGTGCAGGTGAGGAGGGATGGGACTGTGACCCATGCGGTGGTTTTGTTCACGACGGTGAGCTGTGAAATCAACCTATTCAGCTACCCCTTTGTGACTGGGACATGCCCTGTGGCCATCAATGGATGGAGCCAGAAATGTAAGAAAATAATTGTTGGGAAGCATATTATGTGTCTGCCTTAATGGCTTGCCATGTTTACATAGAGTAAACATGCAAATATGGTCTATAATAGCCGAGTTTACTTAGAAAGGAGACATGTTTGCATTGATTATAATGACAGTGACTTAATTTAAATATCTCACAGTCTGATTAATGTGTATCTATAGTCAGTAGCCCTGGTGGGAGCTATATTTGTAATGAATATGTCCTCTTGTTTGTTTGATCTAGCTTGTGAGCTCAAACTCCAGATTTCTGATAATGTGTCTTCGATTGCCAGTTCGGGAGGAGAATGGCAGACTTCGAACGTCATCAAACATGTGGATCCATCACAGCGTGTTTATCTCGAAGTAACTGAATTATTCAATTATTGTATTGAGTTTACAGAGTCTGTCAATATTACCTTGAACCATCAAAGCAACTATTATCCTTAGGGGTACGGTGTACATTTTAGGACATCCTCAGACATATGAAGACAAGGCATCATGCCTCAGACTAAAAGGCCTCAGTTATTGGACAAAACGGCATCACGCCTGAGACTGAAAAGCTTCAGGTCTCAGGAAAAACAATGTCAGGTGTCAGGTCTCGTACAATTAGGCATCAGACAAAACAGCCTCAGACATAAAGGCATCAGGTGAAACGGACTCAAATGGAGTTTGGAGGTTCGCATTGCCCCGCCCCTTGTGACATCACGTGTACACGCGGTTCATAGCTCGAAAGAAGCAAAGAAAGCTTTACTTCACAATAGTTTGCACAAATATGTCATCTAACATTTTAAACGTGCAAATAAAACTCGCGAAATGCATGTTCACAAACATTTCCGTTGTGGACCGTGTTATTTGCAGCGCGTTTCTGTATTTGGTTGTGTTGTGAGTACTTGGAGCACAGGTGTGTTGTGGAACTGATGAAGATGTTTTTCTTAATTTGCGGATGTATTTTTGTATTTGAATGCGTTTTTATAGTTGCACACGTTTTTTTGAATTTGCAATCGTCTTCATCAGGTTGCAGCGCGGTGAGCTCTCTCGGCCACCGTACCATTGCGCTCTTTAAGATCATTAAATTCGAGGCTTCTGGTCATTCCTAGGATATCCAGATCCACCAAAGGAGGGAGGGCATTTTCACATTTAGCTCCGAAGCTCTGGAATAGCCTTCCTGATATTGTTCGTTGCTCAGACTCGCTCTCCCAGTTTAAAACTAGATTAAAGACGCATCTATTTAGCCAGGCATTCATTTAAATTATCTTACAGTTACTGTAAATTTGGCCTCTAGTTCATAAACACCAGAGGAGAACTGACCCCCGACTGAGCCTGGGTTCTTCCAAGGTTTTTTTTTTTCTCCATTGGGTCATCTGATGGAGTTTTAGGACACCATCGGGTCACTTGATGGAGTTTTTCGGTTCCTTGCCACTGTTGCCTTTGGCTTGCTCAGTTGGGGATATTCAAATTAAATGACCCATCATACCACTGATCAGCTCTACCAAACTTGGATGTCTTTTTTTCCATGAATAAACAAACACTGTTAAGTTGTCTTGATTGATTCTGTGAAGCAGCTTTGATACAATCGGTATTGTGAAAAGCGCCATATAAATATATTTGACTTGACTTGACTTTACATACTTATTTAAATTAATATATTGAGAAATATTAATAATATGATTATTAATAGTAATCTACATAGTGTAAAATGCTAATAAAAACATTGAATCGCGTAAATAGAAATTATATGTAATTGTCCCCCTTCAACATCAACACAGCAAAAAACAAACAAAACTTTTGTTACCTTTTTTTGCGTATTTATTTGTCTTACGTAAGTGTCTGTATTTATTATTTTTTATTTTTGTAAGCACTTATAAATAAAATTCATCATCATCATCAGTCTAAGGAAACAGACAGTACTGGTTTAGCTTGTGAAGTGAGGACATTAACCTATAATTGTTTGTCGAATGTCTTTTGGACAGGTGGAATTGTCTATTAACGCCTTCGGTGCTGTTGTGACCCTGATCCTGCCCAGTGTGTTAATAATGCTGGCTGACCTGGTGAGCTTTGCTCTGCCATTTGAAGGAGGGGAACGCAACTCTTTTAAGGTCACCTTGGTCCTGAGCTTCACCATGTTCCTCCTCATCCTCAACGACCACCTGCCCAACGGGGGCAACTGCAGCCCCCTCCTCCGTAAGTGAAACAACAGAGAGAAAGCGAGAGAAAATCGGCTCCATTTTAACAAAACTACGTTTTTTGGTGGTATTATGGATTAAAATGAATGCCAAATGTAATTGAAATAGAAAAGCGTGTTGCATTCCATTAACCCAGCTTGCATTTATTGTTTTTTTGAGCTTGCATTGGCAAATATGAATAGGTAATCTACTGCTATTCCTGCAGTTCCCGGATGTGAAATGTTTCATTTGTTTATTAAATTTGGACCACTGAATTTGTCAAAGCTAATTTGTAAAGTGAAATATGAAAGGTGAATATGGACTATTAAATTTTTATTAATGATTCATTTTTGGTTTGACTGTGTATTATGAAGATCCCCAGATAGCAAACTGTCATGGAAATATGACATCGAAACAACGTTGATCTGACATAGTTTTGCTCATCGAATTAACGTTGAACCAACGTCAGACGCGTCATTCTTTCAAAACTAACGGAAAATCAACTTGAAATCAACGCGTTGTTTCAACGTTATGAAAGCAAACCAATTTTCGATTTTCATTTAGCTTTGAAGAATGCCGCGTCTGACGTTGGTTCAACGTTAATTCGATGAGCAAAATCAACGTTGTTTCAATGTCATGAGAGACGTCGTTTCCACGTTGATTCAATGTCAGTTTGCTGTCTGGGTCGGGCCTTTCTTCCACCCATCATGAGAAATTTGTTTATGTCATACTTTGAAAAGGAATGATGTGAATGGTGATGTGAACCCTGTTCTCTGTTTCCTCCTCTGAAGACTATCACTTCAGCTTCTGTCTGGTGTGTCTGGTTGTGAGTATGCTGACGTCTATAGTGTTGACACGTCTGTCTGTAGAGGACAGCTTCCTTCTGTGTAGACGACGCTCCGCCAAGGTTCATCCATCAAACAACAGCAAAACACAACATGACAGCCTGGATCAGGAGAAAGGTAAGAGTTGACTGTAAACACAAAGGCTCATAAAAGCTTCATAAAAAAAAAAAAAGTCAGTGGACACTTTCATGAATGAATCAGCCGGTTTGAACAAATCGGTTGAATGAAAGATTCTATGATTCACTACTGACGGTTTTAGTTTCATATGCTAACTTCACATTTTTACCAACATTTAATATTTTTTATATCTCCATTATTTAGGCGATTGTAATTACAGTTTAAATGGATTTTGATAAATGGTAAGAGGGATTTTGTTGATACTAATGTCATTTAATTGGTATAACAGCCCTAAATAGTGTAATTAATTAAAAGATGATCAACAATATTTTACTTTTTTTTTATAAATAATTATAAGAGGTATACCCTCTTTTCACTTGAGCTCCTGCCCCAACAAAATGTCTGCACAGCCCTGATTGTTTATTATGCAATATTCCATTAAAAAACAAGAAATCGGCTCGAGGGCGGAGCAACCTGTCACTCATATGACATCACAGCAGTAGCAAACCACACCCTTTAAACCAGTGTTTCCCAACCCTGTTCCTCGCGGCACACCAACACTGCGTGTTTTCTTTGTCTCCCTAATCAAACACACCCGATTCAACCCATTAGCTCATTAACCCACCTGATTATGAGCTGATGGGTTGAGTCAGGTGTGTTTGATAAGGGAGACAAAGAAAACACGCAGTGTTGGTGTGCCGCGAGGAACAGGGTTGGGAAACACTGCTTTAAACTATCCAATCAATAGAGCATCACAGTCCCGCCCACAGCCGGTGCCGGAAGTAAAAATTCAATACAATTTCCCCATTGACATTTGAGAAATAAGCCATAAAAACGTAACCATAAATGGTAGACTTAAAACCAGCTACGGCTTGTACTAAGCGATTGTATGTGCTCATATAAACGTCAAAAGTTCATGGGGCACTAACCTTGTTTTAAGATAAATGCCTTTTATTCGCGATGTATTGGATAAGTACTTCATTACCCACAATCCCACAATCCAACAGTGATGCATCTGATTGGTGGAAGTCGTGTCACGTGTCTGAAACCCCGCGAAGGTACGTGAAGACTGAAGATTGCGTGATGACGTAGGGCTAAGTTCATTGGTCGCACTTCTGAGACGCCCGCGCGCCATTGGATGTGCAGTTGCCACAGCTTAGCTAATGAGCGAGCCAGATACTCAATGTTTTTGCATGTCGAGCTGCAAATGCATTTGCTTCAGTAAATCGAGGAAAATGAGTTTCCTTGCACATTCACTATATACAGTAAAATTCACTGGAGAAAAAAAAAGTTCACGTGCCCGTCGTCCGATTTGGAAGTCGCTCAAAAGGCTCTTTCACGGTGGCTTTCAGCCGACTTCAGTGAGGTGCGGTGGTTTATGGGAGGAGTAGTTCCTTTGCTCGGAAATGAAAATATGTACACAGGCTTGTACCCTCGACTTTTTTTGGATTTTCTCTTCGTTTTTTCACTCGAAATGATGTGTTGTATGCTTATGAGTTCAGCCGTCAGACATGCTCTAATACTCTTTAGATCTGGGTTTTACAAAATGTCAATGGGAGAAATTAATGGGAAATTTACTTCCGGCACCAGCGCTCTCTCGGGCTGTGGGCGGGACTGTGATGCTCTATTCAACATGGACAAAATCAAGCCCCGCCCTATATTTGTTCTGATTTAAAGAAGCCATATACGTCACAATAGGGAAGAAAAGACTCTCACAACTTCTGTTTTAATTTCTCACTGGCTTGATGTCAACATATATTGCCATTTGCAACCCATTTTGCTCCTGTAACTTGACCTGTTTCTGGTCAAAATGTGATATTCAGCATTACAAAATAATTGTATCCAACACTAATTCATATCCATCCACCTTTAATGCTAATTAAGATTTTATCTATTATAATGGGGAAATGGATCAAAATCTGCATAATTAATTGACAAAATTATTTTTCAGTATCAGGATTAAAATCTAACAGCAGTCATGAATTGTGCTTCTTCTGCTGAAATCACTAACAAAAAAATAATGTTTTTTAGGCTGGCCCAGATATTGTTCATGCACGTAAAGAAACAAACATGCAACGAGCTCTTTAAGGAAACTTTAAGACAGGCCTTTGTTATTATACCAAACTGTATTCGACTCATAGACTGTAAAAAAATATGGACGTGGTATCCGTGACGTCACCCATAGGTTTCTGAAGAGCGTTTTTGAAGCCTAAAGTGTGCGGGGCCGGCCGTCGCCATCTTGGCAGTGCGTCACCTCTCGTCACTACCGGATAAATTAAAATGGGCAAAGAGGCGGGACATGGGTGGAGCTGAGGTGCTACTGCACTCACGCTGAATTGACAGCTGATTGAAAAAGTAAAGCCAATGCTTAAAGTTCATGTTTTTGCCCTTCAGAATATTATAATAGTTAAGACGTAACTAAAAGTGAGACTACTTACTTTACTTTTTTATCAACTTTATTAATCTCACAAGGGGCAATTAGTTAAGAGCATGTATACAAGTACATAACACAGATCACACACATTTGTCACAACATACAAGCAGTCAACTCTGTGCATTTTGATATAGACCAAAACAACTATTTGCCACCAGGCTGTAAACATGTTTTTTTTCTGCTGTGAAGTTAGACATTTTAACTTGGGGGAGATACAGATTTGACTCGCTTTTGCAGTCAGCTTCAAGCGGCCACTCGATGAATTGCAGTTTAATTCACTTCCGTGTTGGCTTCAAGAGAGAGACGGGGAGGTTGCCCCTTGATTCTACTGCGAAAGTGCTGCAAATGATTAATGAATCATTTTTTCAACTCATTTTGATGACCGTAATATGGTACAGAAATGAAATGCTTCCCCTTTAAATAAAGCTCTATTGGATCAATATTGGAATAACATGAATATTTCGGTATGCATTTACAGATATTGGTGTGATTACAACACAGTCTGGTGATCTGGCTTCAGAGGTGGCTTCCCTCCAGAAAATAGCGAACTTTTTGGAGAACTTGGAGAAAGGAGAAGAGGAGAAACAGAGGAAAGTGGCCTTTGCTTACCGCCTAGACCGATTCTGCTATGCGTTTTTTCAAAGCATCTACATAATTTATGTCATAATCATTATTAGTATCACCCAGACAGATATTTGTAAGGTTAATAATCTAGACTTCTGGGATAATTCTGACCATGGAGATGACGACTATGACTACACTCCACTGTAGTTTAAACATAACCTCTCAGACCGGCTCTGTTTACTGCACGTCATCTGTAGAAAACTGGCAATTATTGGAAAAAGTTCATATATTATACATTTAAAAAGCTTGGGGATTAAGACAAGGCTAACCATACTTAAATAAATTTCAGAATTGCTTCTGAAGACTTGAACTAACAGGGTAATTGTTGAACTGTATCTGTTACTTTCTTCTAATGTATAAAGTTGACAAAAATAAATAAATAAAAAAGCTGTCTCTTTAAAATCGGCCCACATTTCTTGTGACTTGTGTGCTGTTATGACCCTGGTTTCTGGTGGACTGTGGGAAATAATTGCCTAATTGTCTAATTAACCTAATTGTGGAGTACATTTGAAGAGTTCAGATGCAAAAGCCTCTAAATGCCATTTGAAATTTTCTTCTTTAATGATGATTTTTATCAAACTTGTATATTTAAGTTCAGTAATTTCACTTAAATAACAATTAATACACTGAAAAAAGTGTCTCATTAGATCAAAGTAAAAAAATTGCGTCAACTGGTTACATCTAATTGATTTACTTTCTATCAACTTAAAATTTTTACTTTGAAGAGAATTAACCATCCATTACTTAGCTAAAGTAAAAATTAATCTTTGAATCAAATAAAGTTTTTAAGTTGAATGAAATATCAAATTATACTTTGTCTTAATGTTTTCTTAAGTTGTATTGACTTAATTATTGTACTTTACATATCTAACCAAATATCCAAAAAAATACAATTTAAAATATTAATGTATTATAAAGAAATTTATTTACTTTCAGAATGTGTAATTTTATCATTTAAGAAAAATGACTTCAAGCATCAAACTTTTGACAATTTATTTTGTCATAACTTTTTCTTTTACGTGTACAGTATCCTCATACACAATGTCTAACAATGTAAACATCAAACTTCAGCAGAAAATTGTAGCTGGGTCAAAGGAAACAAATTTACCCCTGCAGCTTTGAAGAGAGGTTCTGCACCCTTCGGCTCATCTGCTTACTCTCTATGTCCATGATTATTATCTGAAAGGCCTCAAAAGTATATTTGAGTCCTTCAGGATATTTTAGGTTCAGTGCATAAACGAGTCCAAACATCATGGCACAGGCACAGGCAACAGTGGGCAACTCCTTCAGTACTTCCACACCTTCAATGGCAATGGAAATGTCCAGCACACGACTAAGAGCATCACTTTCACGGATCACAAAAAATGCCATAGTGGTCTTTTCAAATTCTCTCTCCGCTTCCTCCCTCTGGTCATCCTAAAAACATACAAAAACAGAGAGCAATTGAGGGACTGTGGAAGAAGAAAAAACCCCCCAGCCCCAAAATTTAGTTAGCTGTACTACTAAGGTCAATGTAGAGCCCAAACATCTGTTGTTAACTTTAATTAAAATATCTTCAATAAAATTTGTAGGGTTTATTACAAGAGTAGAGTAAGTGATGACAATTTTCATTTTTGGGTGACGATGTACTTTTACACTCTCTTTAGCTTTGAAAATGCTTTTAAACACTTTCAAAGGCTCCCAGTTGCTGACCATTGTAGACAATCACAGACATATTTGTTGAGTGCAGTACCACAATGGCCAATCAGAGGCATTTATCAATCCACTCAACAGTGTTCAAAATGCATTTTGGGGTGAACCAACCCCTATTAAAGGAGTAATTCAAGGGATGGGCAACGATTTATCGCGATTAATCGTTAGCAAAATAAAAGTTTGTGTTTACATAATATATGTGTGTGTAGTGTGTATAATTAATTTGTATATATAAATACCCACACATGCATGTATATATTTAAGAAAAATGTGTTAACATATATTTATTAACAATTACAAATATTACAACAAATATTAACAACAAATATTTATATTTATATATAATATTAATTATGTATAAATATATATAAAGTATATACATGCAAATATTTCTTAAATATATACATGCATGTGTGTGTGTGTATTTATATATACAAATTAATTATACACACTACATACACATATATTATGTAAACACAAACTTTTATTTTGCTAACAATTAATCGCGATTAATCGTTGCCCATCCCTAAGTAATTCAAAATAAAAATTCTGTCATCGTTTAAATTTCTCTTGTCATTTCAAACCAGTATGAATTACTGTACTCTGCAGAATTTTGAACAGCGTTGGTGACAGAACAGCACAGCCCCCATTCACTGTTATTGTATGGACACAAAACCAATCCAAGTGAATGGGGGGCTCTTAAAGGATTAGTCCACTTAAAAAAAACCTTTTGCTGATAATTTACTCACCCCCATGTCATCCAAGATGTCCATGTCTTTCTTTCTTCAGTCGAAAAGAAATTAAGGTTTTTGATGAAAACATTACAGGATTTTCTCCATATAATGGACTTCAATGGGAACCAAACGGTTCAAGGTCCAAATGACAGTTTCAGTGCAAACTGTTCAAAGGGCTTTAAACGACACCAGACGATGAATAAGGGTCTTATCTAGCAAAACAATCGGGCATTTAAAAAATAATAAGTTTTATAAGCACAAATGCTCGCCTTGCTCTGTTCTGTGATGCATGTTCGTTTCAACATAATTGTGTATTACGTGACGTCACGAACGCGTATCACAGAACAGAAAATTGAAACTCATTTGGACCTTGAACCATTTGGGGTTTATTGAAGTCCATTATATGGAGAAAAATCCTGGAATGTTTTCATCAAAAACCTTAATTTCTTTTCGACTGAAGAAAGAAAGACATGGACATCTTGGATGACATGGGGGTGAGGAAATTATCAGCAAAACTTTTTTTTAAAGTGAACTACTCCTTCTTCAAAATACATTCTTTTGTATTCTGTGGTAGAAAGTCACACAGGCCGATGTGTAAATGATAACAATTACTTTTGAGCGATATGTCACTACCAAACTTACTAAATTAAATTAAACTAAATTAAATTGCGCGAGAACTGAAATGAAGTAGTTGAAGGAGATCGCAATTCTCGCGCATGCGTCGTGGAAATCTAAGGAAGTCTCGTTTCAGGCCAACAAGGAAGAATATTTTTGTTTGTTTTTTCGCACAAAAAGTATTCTCGTCGCTTGATAAACTTATAGTTGAGCCACCGTAGTCACCTGGGATATTTAAACATTTTCTTCATTGACTTTCTGGGCCGTCAAGAGCCAGTCCCTTAGGAAGCCAATGTGGTAGTGAGACAGCTCTCAAATTTAATCAAAAATATGTTAATTTGTGTTGCGAAGATGAACGAAGGTCTTACGGGGTTGGTACAGCATGGGGGTGAGTAATTAATTACTTAATTTTCATTTTTGGGTGAACGAACCCTTTAAGGCAAACATGGTTGGACAAAATTTCAGCAATTTGTCTACATTACCTGGTATTCTTTGATCAGACAGCTTGCATCTTCACCAAGGTACATGATCAGGCACTTCAGCAGGCACTCTCTTCTGACGTCTATGTCCGGACTCTACAAAATGCATTGTTTTTATTAGACCAAAACACTACTAAATTGATTGCCACAAGCAATTTTGTTCTCATGCAACCAATATCTGATCCATAACTTTTATAGTATCCTTAGTTTTTTCACGAAGGAGTCCACCTTCGCTCCTGATCACCTGGAGAAGCTGAGAGCTCTGTCTGTCCAAAGAGGCCATAAATCTTGATTGCAAAGGTAAGGTCGTGATAAGAAAAAATTCGGCATTAATCTACAAGAAAGAGAAACAGAAAAAAGTGATTTTACTTTCAGAATTAGTTGTAAAAAAAATACATAGACACACAAAGCATTAAACAACAAAAGTTATAATTAGGGCATCCAAGACATTTTCAAAAATACTACATACCAAAATTCAATTATAAAAACTATGGTAAATTCAGGATTAGTCACATTTAAAAAAAATTCATTACAAATAAATGCTTTTACCTCCTCTTGTTGAAACAGAGCTGGCCATCCAATGCACTAATGGTTCTGATGTGATATTTCTGTGAAACTATTCGCTGCTGAAATAGAACAAAACCTGTCAATCACTGTATGATTAACTTAATGAATCTATGATGTAGGCTAATTACATCGCACGTACATCTCTGGTTTGAGTGCAGATTTCAGTGAGAGAGCGCGCGCGTGCTCTGAACTAATCTTACGCGATGACTAATCTGAACAACTTTTGATTATTAGAAATTGCATTCATAAACTCAAAAGAATCGCGTGTGTTTGTTCTAATGCGCAACGCGATTATCGTATAAGAGATGCCTTTTGAGAAGACTCAACCCACCAAAATGATAGAGGGAGTAACATTACTTTGTTACACACCACAGCTGAAACCCACACGCGAATGGCGGGTGTTAATGTCAAGCCCTGATATATTATGTTTATAACACGCCCAAACATATGTTTAAAATTACTTACCAATTTTCTTGCTTCCCGTTTTCCCACGCTGAGTTCTTCCATGCGGTTTAACAAGATGGCGGAAAGCTGAACGTCTCACGCACGACCACGGCACGGATGACGTCAGAAGTCACGTGACAACGGAAACCAATATTTTTACTTTAATTTAAAGAAATCCATTTACTTTACACTAACAATACTTACTTTTAATTTAAATCAACGAAAAATTTTACATTAAACTGATGGCTAGATAGAAAATTAATTGTTTTGTGTTACATCAAGTATAAAAATTTCTTTAGAGTAATGACATGCCTTGTTCACTTTTTTCAGTGTAGGTAATTATCATTGCCATTTAAGTGAAATCACTGAACTTAAATATACAAGTTTGATAAAAAATCATTAAAGAAGAAAATTTCAAATGGCATTTAGAGGCTTTTGCATCTGAACTCTTCATTTATTCATTTAGCTGACGCTTTTATCCAAAGCGACTTACAATTGCTATATATGTCAGCGGTTGCACGCCTCTGGAGCAACTTGGGGTTAACTTGCTCAGGGACACACTGGTGTCGCACAGTGGATTCAAACCCGAGTTTCTTAAACCAAAGGCATGTGTCTTATCCACTGCACCATCACGAATTGAAGGTTTTTTTTTTTTTTCCACTCTCTCTATGAA